TTTGATTTACTAATCTCTTCAGCTTTAGTTCCTGAGTTGGGGCTTTATGCCATGGCCAAGCACCACCTCCTGCTATGCTTTTGGATGGGGGTAGTTGGCCCTGCATAGTCTTGACCTGGATTACCTGGGTTCATAAACTGACCTCTATTTTGAGGTTCAGAGCACTGGATCTTCAAGGCCCTCTCTGGTGTCTCAGTGCACAGTGGAAGGAACTTTGGAATCCCTAGGCCTGGAATATCCAAATCTGAGTGCTGAGGCACCAAACTGGACACTCCTAAAGCAAGTGCTCAGTGGTTTTCAAGCTTCCGATCTTTCTGAGCACTTTAGAGATTTCTTAGGTAAGCCCACTACTGTTGCTGCCTCTATGCATAGAGCCTTGTGGGCTGCATGCATGTCCCTCTCCCCTCTCTGGTTATTCAGGGAAGCATTGTATTGTCGGTCCTATCCTTTCCTATTCACCTCGTGTAGTTCTAAGGTGGAAGAAGTCACTATACTTTGTCATTTGATTTCTTGATCATTATTTAGTCAATGTAAACTTTCGGGTTTGGCTGGTAGTTATTTGGGAGTGGGGCATTTTACCTCCTCTTCAGGGAGCTATGCTGGCCAGAAGTCTGGACATGGATTTAAAGGGATTTTAGTGATGACCTAGTTCAATTCTCTTATTTTATAAAGGAAGAACTGGAGGTCCAGAGAGGGAAAGTATTTTATCTAAAGTTATTGTTAACTAATTGAGCCAAGGATGAGAGACACACTGGAGTACCTCTACCCCTTTATTTACATTTTATTTCATGCAGTTCAATAATAATTTCAATCATATTATTTGGAATAATTCTTTTTACTCTTCTTGCCCAATAAAGATATCATGTACTAGGTGTGTGTTGGTAATATTTAACAGCTGGCTCTCTGGAAAGAAAAAAAAAAAGTACACCTGACACACTTTTAAGTTTAATCTGCATTATTAACATTTCTTCATCACTTTTTTGCGTGTAGACAATCAACAAAACAATAAATTAATCCAAGAGAGGGGAACCTGTGGCCTCTAGGCCACATGTGGCCTTCTAGGTCCTTAGGTGTGGCCTTTTGATCAAGTCCAAGTTTTACAGAACAAATCCTTTTATTAAGCAGTTTGTTCTATGGAGTTTGGATTCAGCCAAAGGGCTGCACTTGAGGACCTAGAGGGCCACATGTGGTCTCCATGCTGAGGTTCCCCACCCCTGAATTAAGCCCTTATTTGTAGCTGTTTGCTAACTTCTGAAGTGTAAATGCTCATGCTGAAAATTTTAAAATCAGATCTCAGACCTGGGCAGGAGCTGGCTCCAGCACACTGATAGGGAGCGAGTCATTTTATCTTCTCTGAGGTTCAACTTACTCATCTATAAAATGAGAAGGTTAGGCTAGCCGTCCTTTCAGCTTTGGATCCTATTATTTGTATAATGAGTTAGTTTAATCAGTTAACAAGCATTTATTAAGTGCTTACTATATGCCAACCACTGTGCTAAGCACTGAGTATACAAAGAAAAAGGCAAAAATGGTCCTGCCCCTCAAGGAGCTTTACACTAAACTTTCTCAAGTCAAATATTACCTAACCAGGGCTGCCCTTTTGAGCATACCGTTTGGCTTCCTCTACCACATTGGTAGGGGTAGCTTCCTTGACTGGCTGCCTGCATCTTTAAAAGTGGTGAGATGAGTGACTCTCTTTCCACCGTCTTTTCAGCCTCACTCTTTCAGGTTTTCCTACCTGCTTTGCCCAATAGTATGGACACCATGAACTGAACCAGTGAAAAGAGAAGGACTCTCCTTCCCCTGCTTTCCTCTTTTTTACCCCAGCTCTGAGAAATGGGTCTGGTGGTATTTGTTTCTGTTCTGTGTTGTTTGCCCTTCTCAGTTTCAGCTGCCTGGACTGTTCTCCACAGGCCAGGAGTACAGGCCATGGTGACCTTGGAGCCAAGATTGAAGGTAGGGTAGTACAGGCAGCCAGGAGAATTCAGAGTGCTTGGGACTCTTGGGGGTTTGGGGTGGGCTTTGCAGCTGGAACTAGGACTGTGCTCTATGAGAACTGAGCTAAACTATGAACCTAATCCCTTTTCCTTTTTTTTTTTAAGGCAATTGGGGTTAAGTGACTTGCCCAGGGTCACACAGCTAGTAAGTCTCAAGTGTTTGGTCTGAGGTCACATTTGAACTCAGGTCCTCCTGACTTCAGGGTCAGTGCTCTATCCACTGCCACCTACCTGGCCCCCTAATCTCTTTTCTCCCCAAAGACTGAAGTGAGGCAAAGAAAGGAGGATTATGCCTCTCATGCTTTAGGGGAATGAGTTTGTATATTTGTGAATATGACTTATGAAGTAAATACATTCCTTTGTAAAAGCTTCAGTGTTGCAATTATATGATACTATAAGTCCCCAAATGTAACTGTCTTGTATTTACATGTAGGATCATTTTATAGTGCTTTTTAAATTTCTCATTTTATCCTCAAAAAGCCTCTTGAAAGTGATAGATTTAACACAGAAAGATTAATTAAAGCAAGTGGAAGTAAATAGAGAAATTTGTCCATGATCATGTAGCTGTTTGTTAGCAAAGCCTAGGACTCCCAAATATTCTTCCTACTACATGACATGCCTATTATTAGGGAACTTGAGTTCTTGTCCTAGTTCTGCTACTAAATAACTGCATGATCTTAGACAACTCACTTTTAGTTTCCTTATCTGTAAAATGATGGATTTGGCCTTGATATCACCCAGATTCCCTAACAACTTTCACAGGGAGTAATCAAGTGATCTCAATAAAGTCTCTTAACATTATAAACAATTCTTGGAAATTGAGAGGATGCCCAACAATTGGGGAATGGCTGAGCAAGTTGTGGTATATGAATGTAATGGAATGCTGTTGTGCTATAAGAAATGACGAACAGGCTGACTTGAGAAAAACCTGGAAAGACTTGTATGGTCTAATGCTGAGTAAAGTGAGCAGAACCAAGAGAATGTTGTACATAATTTATCAGCCACGTTGTGCAATGACTAATATTGATAAACTTAACCTCTCCCAGCAATACAAAGATATAAGACATCTCTAAAGGACTCGTGATAGAAAATGCTATCCACATCCAAAGAAAGAACTATGGAATTTGAATGCAGATTGAAGTATACTATTTGCTATTTTTTTTCTCTTCTGTTGAGTTTTGTTTCTTCTTTCTGGTGGTTCTCCTGTTGGTTCTAATTCTTACTTACAACATCACTAATGTGAAAAAAAACATTATAAACAATTCTATTCTCCTTCATCTTGGCTTGATAATGCTTGTCACTGCTATCAATTTTAGGTGTATCTCAAAATTCTGTCCTGTATCCTTTTCTTTTCTTTTTTCTCTACATGCTTCCATTTGGAAAATTCATCACTTTCCATGGGTTCAGTTATCATTTCTATGGAGATGACTCTTAAATCTATATACCTACCCCTTGTCTCACTCCTCAACTCTAATCCTCCATCATCTATAGCCTTCTGGACATTTTCAAACTGGATGTCTCATAGTCATCTTGAATTTAACATGTTCAAAACTAGAACTTATCTCTCCCCCTACCCTTCTCTTCTGAACTTTCTTAACCCTGTTCAAGGCATCCTTCAAGGCACCCAAGTTTACAACCCTGTTATTATCCTCAACTCCTGATTCTGACTTATCTTATAGATCCAGTTAGCCAAATTGTGTCCTTTCTACCTCATATCATCTCTCAGACATACCACCTTTCTTCTACCCACACAGTCGGCCAGGGCCCTACTTCATGCCCTCAGCATTTTTGACTTGAACTCTTGCATTCAAACTTTTATTTTTGGCTAGGCAATGGGGTTGAATGACTTGCCCAGGGTCACACAGCTTGTAAGTGTTACATGTCTGAGGCCAGATTTTGAACTCAGGTCCTCCTGAATCCAGGGCCGGTGCTCTATCCACTGCACCACCTAGCTGCCCCTTAACCTGAACTCTCACCAGTATTGCCTTGCAACTGGTCTCTTTGCCTCAAGTGTCTCCCCAAATCAATCCATCTTCCACAAAGCTGCCAAAGTGATTTTCCTAAAGATCTGGCCTGACCATTTCATTCCCCTACTTGAAAAATTCCAAGGGTTCCCTATTATCTTCAGGATCAAATATAAGAGTCCTCCGTTGGGCATTGAAAGCTTTTACCTTTTCAGTTCACTTAAACATTACTTCCTGACATTCCACGCTCTCTGTGGTCTAGTCGTATTGACCTTGTGTTCCTCCCATGCTATGCTCTTTCCCTTTGCACATTCCTGGAATGCTCTCTCTCAACACTTGTACATTATGGAATCTTTGGTTTCCTTTAAGACTAAGGTCAAGGGCCATCTCCTTTGGATTGCCTTTCCTGTTTATCAAGCTGCTAGGGACTTCTCCTTCAAAGTTACTTGGTATTTGATTCATATATATTGGATATAATCTATGTTGGCAGGGATCGTCTTCTCCATTGGAATATAAGTTCCTTGAGGGCAGGGACTGTTTCATTTCTGTCTTTGTCCCCCCCAGCACTTAGCACAGTGCCTTGTGCATAGGAGATCTAATAAAAGTTTGTCGAAGGCTTCTACCCTTCCAGAAGCAAAATACAGCTTCATAGGCCTCCTCTCTCTAGCCACTTGCCCACTCAGCAAAGTTAACCTAGAACCCAAGTCTGAGGGCACTTGGCGGGAGATATACGGAGGAGGCGGGGCAGTAGAATTCTTCCTGATAACGTGGATCTCCTGTCAGTCACCCAGTAGGACCATGTGGCCCCTCCCCAAGTAAATGTGGCCTGCAGTTGTAGTCATCATCATCCCCAGCAGCCGCATCTGCGGTCGTGGTAGGCTGCGCAAGTCACGTGCGTGCCTAGTCCCGCCCCTCCATCGGTTGGTCCAGCCAGAGAAAGGAGGGCGTGGCTTTGAGCTAGGACCCCGCTGTTCTAGTCGCCTTCGCCTCTCTGTGTTTAGGACCTTGGCTCGGGCAGTGCAGCGGGCACTCTGTTTTGGGGTCCTCACGCCGCCCTTCCACGTCTCCCGGAAGAGAGAGCGGAGATAGTGGGGCTGGCTGGTGCCGGGACGCTGCTCGAGTGTCTCCCGGCTCCCTCCTTCCTCCAGCTCCGGAGGAAGGAGGAGGAGGAAGAGGGGGGAAAAAAACAAGGAGAAAAGGAGGAAGGCAGGCGTCCATCCCTTCGCTCCGGGCCGGGGACTGACGCAGTCAGGTGAGGCGGAGGCGCGGCCTGAGGCCTCTGCCCGGGTGGGCGGTTAACGTCTGAGGACTGACCCGTTGGGTCCCGTCGCTCTCCTCTTCCTTTCTCTCGCCAACCCACACCTGCTTCCCGTCCCGACCAGAGGTCTTTTGGACCGTTCCTCGCCCCTTTTCTCCATTCCTTCTCTTCCCTCTTTTAAAAGGTCCGGGGGAGGGGTTTTAACCTTTTTTGTGAGTTGTGGACCCCTTTGGCAATCTGGTGATGCCTGTGAACTCCCTTCTCAGAATAACATTCTAAAATGCATAAAGTGAAATACATAGGATTACAAAAAATGCCACTTACATTGAAATCAAGGTGTAATTTTTTTTTCCCCATCCAAGTTCACCCCCCGCCCCGCCTCCGAAATCTGGTTTTGGAGGGTGTGTATGGACCACAGGTTAAAAATTCCCTCATTAGGGCCTCCCTCTAATATTTCGTTCTGTAATGAGTGTTTTGGGTCACGAACTTAAAAATCGGCATTTTGATTATGGCCCTGGCTACCCACGGAGGCTCCTGGTCACTGTCACCTTCCCCCACCCCCATCCCTGGAAGCCCCCTGCCCGAGGAATCGTCTCATTAGTTTGTAAGAGGCTAGACTCTAAAGAACTGGAGCTAGCTTGAGAACCGTCTCAGTTTTCTCTTTTTATAGGGCACGTGCCCAAAGTTCTATTGTATTAATTAGTTTGTATGGTTTAATTGGTCAATCAGCTTTATGGCAAATGCTTTTAGTCCGGAGCATAAGATAAGTGCATTTTGATCATTAGGATAGCGTACTAGGCTGGTATTAAGATAGTTTGGGTTTTACTCCTTTTTCCATCATAAATTTATGATCTAGAAACTAACTTCATCTTGTATTTTCCTTGATTGGTTTAATTACTAGAATTAGGGTTTTTAGTAATAGTCATTGTAAAACTTAAGTCACAAATATGAACTGCCCTGTCTCAAATTTAAAGGTCGCTATGATAATTCTACATTTTAACATGAAGGTAATGATAATGGCAGACATTTATGTAGCTCTAAAGTTTGCAAAGTGTTTTTACAACTCTGTGAGGTAGGTGCTACAGGTACTATCCCACATTTACAGATGAAGAAATTGAGGCTCAGAGAGGTTAAATGTCTTGCCTCTGGTCACAGAGCTGGTGTTAAAAGTGGTGTTCTAATCCTTGTCCTAACTCTAGTGCCCTTTCTGCAACCTTACATTGTATTATTTTTAGTCTGCTCTAAGAGACTTTATGTTTCCTTTACTTCGTTATATATCAGTATCCTTAGACTGAATTATGTGAGGGCAGGATTCCTGGTTTCTTCTCTGTGCCTTTTTTATCATCTGTCACAGTGCTTTGTGAGTAATGGGCACTCAATATTTGCTGAATTGTCAGTACTTTTTTTTTTTAATGAATTATGAGAAATTTATTATCAGTTACTGCCTGAAATAACGATACCATCTATTATGGCTTACTGTCTCTTTGTTATGTGTATATTTTGTTGTAACAATAATATTAGTAAATTACTAATTTGGCGTTTTCGATTCTGTAGGGTTCTACAACTTCCGTCATGTCTTGGTTTGCAGATCTTGCTGGAAAAGCCGAGGATCTTCTGAACAGAGTTGACCAAGGGGCTGCAACAGCCCTTAGTAAAAAAGAAAACATCAGTAACATCACATATAACACAGACACTGAATATCCTGAACTGCACCAACAGAATACAGACTTGACATATCAGACTGTATCTAAAGCTAATTACATCTCTTCTGCAGCAGATCATATTAGACATCAGAAGGCTACCATTTTAGCAGGGACTGCAAATGTGAAAGTGGGATCGAGGACATCAGTGGAGGCTTCCCACCTGGGTGAAAATACATCTACTCCTAGGCCTTCTTCCCATTTTGTTCGAAGAAAAAAGTCTGAACCAGATGATGAACAGCTATTTGATTTTCTCAATAGCTCAGAGAAGGAACCTAATGGAAGGGCTGAAACTAAAAAAGAAAGGGGCAAGGCAGCTATTCAGAGTCATTCTCGAACATCAAGCATTAGTTCTGTGTCTACCGGTGCACCCAGCATCAAAACTACTGAAGAAAACTCCACCAGGAGTCAAGGCCATGGTAGCTAATTAGTCCTATATGTCATTTTGAATTACAGTGTTGAAAGCAATAGTGTAAATTGGATATGAAGCCATGGCAAAAAAGAAGTTCCAGTGGTATTTCTGATCCACCTTCCTCTAGTCTATTCCTAGTCCAAGGGATACCTGGCCAGAGATAATTGTCCCAGAATCGAACAGCAGCGTGTGCTTAGAGTAACAGAAATGAACACCGATATTCTTTAGAGTTTTCACAGCAAAGGGCCTTGAAATGTTATACGTGTAAGGTAATCATTTATTCAGCCCAGAATCTTAGAACTTACCTCAAGATTGATCTGCCACTATATTTAGGACACCAAAATAAGGGCATTTTAAGAGATTTGGGAATGCTGTTGTCTGGAATTTTAAAATTGTATTCTTTGAATTTGTGCCTTTTTTGTCAACTTCTTATTTTCATTTTTGTTACCCAATAGAAGTGAAAGGAAATATGGAAACTCTGATCTAAGTCAGATAGAAAGATTTGAAGGTAGTTAAAGAAGAGCTTAGATTTCTTAATCTGTGAGACTAGTACCTCAGAGTTTGCATTGTTCCACCTGCAAAAATGAAGACTATGGAGTGGCTAATGAATGGAAGTGGCTGTTTGTATTTTACAGTAGTGAAAAGTGCAACTTGAGTTTGAAATGACTCTTCATAGCAATTGATGGTGCCCATTTCAGCCATTTTAATAAAGTTAGTAGAGGTTTGGTTTTTTTCTCTTAAATGTTGCCACCTTTGTTTTCTTGGTTTGTTATTGAATAGAATCTGTGATCCATATGTGACATTTCAGAGGTCTATAATTTTGTTGGTGTGATTACTCCTTCTACTAGTGGAGATCACACCCCTATAACTTTTTTGACATGACAGTCTAGTTGCTATGATCAAAAGAATTCGTCACTTTGTAACCAACCCAGTGACAAGCATCTCAAAACTTTAACTGGGCTAGTCTTTGTATGATATACAGTCTGCCTGCATTGCTGAATTTAAAATTTTCCCAGCTTTGGTAGGACTCACCAGAGCTTCCATGCCAATGGCATTGCCTTTGAGAATCCCAAGTCACCTCCATGCTACAATGAAGCATCCAGTTAAGATTTTAAGTAATATTTGACCTATATGATGAAATGGAAAAGTTATTTTAAGTAGTAGTAACCTGAAAATGACTTACCTAGTGACGTGAATTTTTAGAAGTTTTAATGCTTGAACACGGGAGTACATGTTGATCATTTATGTAGATGCATTTACTAAATTCTGCCATGTGAGATTTATTTTGTTCTTGGTATTTAGTTGTACATGGGAATTGAGAGCAGTGAATTTGTATTTATTCAAAGAGAAATACAACTAGATCAAAAGAAAGTAATCCACAGTATCAAGATTGTTATAGAAAATAGTTATGATAAGCCATATGATTCAGGGAAAATATGAATTGTGTGATAGCCAACTTCTGTTTAGTGGGGATGCTGAGCTGCTCTAGAGGAGATTAAGAAATGGATGACATGGTCCGTTCTCTCCTTAATAGTAATAAAACATCTATGTAGCATGCCTGAAGTTGCAATTTGAAGTGAGCAGTTTTCGCAGCATAGAATTTTAAAGTATACTCAGATACCAGCAAATAGTAATTGTGGATAGCCCACTGGTATTCATCATAAACTTTTTTTATAGTTTGAGAATTTATTAATGGAATTTTATTGCAGTGTTTGTCTACTTGTGATAACCTTTATAGTTTTCAATTTTTACTTTGATAACAACAGTTATAATGATGGAAACTTTAGCATCATAACCCTCTTAGGTTTGTATAACTAGGTCTATGCAAATGATAATGAAAGGTTTTATTCATCTCACTTTTATCAGCATTCCTTTTCTAGATCATATCTCGTTATAAACATTTCTATAAGGTATCACCATTGTTTATTCCTACCAAAATTTCTGTTTGATTTTGCTCTAAAGGCAGATCTCAGTTGAGACTTTGATTATTTTTATTTGAGTAAGAGTTCAGTTGTAACAGAAGTTTTTGTATTGGATTTTGACCTAAGATTCAGTCTTGACAATTGGGGAAGTTTTTATGTGACTATTAGGAGTTGGAAGAGACTCTACTTTGGGGTTTTTAATCTATTTATCTACCTAATTGTGAGGCAGCTTGGTGTAGTCATGGATAGGGTTGGCCTTAGAGTCAGGAATCCCTGGATTGGATTCCTGATTCAAGTATCTACTGGACCAAGTGAAGTGGCCCTGGCCAACCCACTTAACTTGGAAGTGCCTCAGGCAATTCTTAAAGAGTACAGATTGTAGAGCAGTTGCTGATGTGCATTGGTAGAGGGGGTTTACTCACAGGGAGCCCCAGTGAAATCACATCAGGTTGTAAAAAATGTTGATGAGCAAATGCTGTGATTTTCTGCTAAATAGCTGTCTGGTGTTAGCCTTTCATCAAGACTATAAAACTTTTTTCTGGAGTGTGTGGGTGGTAAGCCAAAATTATGTCCTCATTGGGATTATTGCATAAAGTAAATATGGAGATAAATTGAAAATACTGTGTTTTTATGATAAATACTATAGCACAATGCCAGGTTCTAATGTTAAGCCTCTGTCTGCGTTATAATTTGAAAGTTTTTTCAGCTCCTATAATTTTTTAAAGCTGTATACTTAAATGTATTTTATTTTTTTCCACTTAATAGTATATTGTTTTTTTCTAATTACATGAAAAGATAGTTTTCAATATTCATTTTTATAAGATTTTGAGTTCCAAATTTTTTCTCCCTCCTTTTCCTGTCCCTTCCCCAAGACAACAAGCAATCTGATACAGATTATACATGTACAATTATGTTAAACATGTTTCCACATTAGTCATGTTGTGAAAGAAGAATCACAACAAAAGGAGAAAACCATGAGAAAAAAAGCAAAAAGTGAAAATAGTATGCTTCAATCTACATTCAGACTCCATGTTTCTTTCTTTCAATGTGGATAGTAGCATTTTTTGTCATGAATCTTTTGGAATTGTCTTAGATCATTGCTGAGAAGAGCTAAGTCTATCATAGTATTGCTGTTACTGTGAGCAGTGTTCTTCTGGTTCTCCTAAGTAAATTTTAAAAGCCTATAAGAGAAGGGGACAAACATTTATATAGTAATTACTATGTGCTGGGCACTGTGCTAAGCACTTTTACAAATATCTGATCTTCACAACTACCCTGGGAGGTAGGTGCTATTATTATGCCTATTTTACAGTTGAGGAAACTGAGATAGACAAATTAAATGACTTGCCCAGGTTTACATAGTAAGTATAAGTTTGGTTTGAACTTAGTGCTTCTTAACTACAGGCCTAGATCTCTATTCACTGGGCTACCAGCTGTCTACTTAATATTCTTGCTATGACTGTCACATATGTCACATTTAATGACTGACATTTTGAAAAACTCATTTGCTATGTGTTCTTATTTGAAGATACTGATTTAGACTGTTGTCTTAAAGTTAGTGTTTTAGTCAGTTTAAAGGCATTAAATATTCCTAACTTTGTCCCCAAAAACACGGTTTCTTTTTTCATATAACAAGTATGAAATTCTGTATTAACATTAAATGCATTGTAGTACAATGGAAAGGGTACAGTCAACAGAACTAACTTCTGGACCTGGATCTGCCTCAAATTTCTCATCTGTAAAAATGAGATTAAGCTAGATAATGACCCCCCCATCTAATAGCTATAATAATAAGTAGCTAACATATAGCGGTTTATATATAACACTTTTTGCAAAGCTTTTCATATGTTCTTATTTAATCTTAACCCTGTGTTCTAGGTGCATTTATCATCTTCGTTTTACAGTTAAGGAAACTGACACTGAAAGGTTAGGTGACTTGTCCAGGGTCACATGTTTAGAAGGTGTCCGAGGCTGGATTCAAATTTGGATCTCTTAAGTTCAGTGCTCTGTCCACTGGGGTCTATTCCATCATTGTCTTTGAACAAATGAAAACCGAATTGTCTGGATCAGTGTTTCTTTCATTCTTTCTAAGTAAATTATCTTATAAGGTTTCAAGGACTTAGTTTTGTTTCTGAATCACTTTCACTGACCCCATTTCAAACTTGAACATTCTATTAGGATGAGTTTTTTCTTTTAGGCCAGTGGTGTGGGGAGAGGAGGAATTTCCTTTTCTTGGACTTCATGGCCATATTTTTAGTCTTAATAATTTCAAGTTCTTGGCCTGTTTCCCCAATAAAAGTGCCCCAGATTACATGGATTACAAAGCTTTCTTTCTCTATTGTATTTAAATGATCCTCACCATCCTGTGATAGTTTCCATATTCGGTAGATTGTAAGACCATAGATGTTAGAATTGAAAGGGACTTTAGCAAGCATCTGAGCCAACGGCCCATTTTGTGGTTGAAAGAACTGAGCCCTGGAGACATTAAGTGATTTGTCCAATACAACAATAGCAGAGAAGGAAACAAAACTGAGGTTCAAATCAAAGTCAGAAAACAGAGGCACCAAGTGAGTAATTTCCCAAAGATCACACACACAGCCTGCAGTTGGAAGAGCCAGGAATCAAAACTGTGATCTGACTCCAAGGCTATTGATCTTTTCACTATATTCTGATTTTTTTTTTTTGCTTAAGCATGTGCCCTTAGATACCTGTTCCTGCTTCTTTGATTTCCAAATCCATGATCTTTTTTCTGTTCCCTATCATCATGTGTATTTTGGTCCTTAAGGCTCCATAAGTCCCATTTGTGGAAGTAAAAGTATCATTCAAAGTGAAGTTTTTTTTGAGGAATTTCAAGTTTGCTTTTCATAATACCTGTAGTAGTGTGAAAGATCTCTCATGATAACATGTAGTTTTTAATGCATGTTGCGAAGTTATAAGTACTTTTTTCTCCCTTTTCACAGAAACCTCTGACAGTTCAGATTCCGGAGTAGGAGCTCAGGTGGATGCTGAAAAAGAAAATAAATCCCTCAGTGCCAAGTCTAGTGATCGAAGCCTTTCTGCTAACAATGATGGCAGGTCCCAGGAATTGTCGAATCTTCGATTGGAGAATCAACTACTAAGGAATGAAGTTCAATCTTTAAATCAAGAAATGGCTTCATTAATTCAAAGATCCAAGGAAACACAAGAAGGTAGAACATTTCATAGTTAAGAAATAAGTTTTATAACCTAAATCAGAAAATTACTTTGATTTCCATCTATATTACATACGTAAAAAATGATCCTACAACTAAAATTTAAACATAGTATGTTTTTTAGGCAGTTGGGGTTAAGTGACTTGCCCAGGGTCACACAGCTAGTAAGTGTCAAGTGTTTGGTCTGAGGCTGGATTTGAACTCAGGTCCTCCTGACTTCAGGGTCAGTGCTGTATCCACTGCACCACCTAGCTGCCCCTAAACATAATTTTATAAATGGAGCTTGTTTCCCTGTGAGAGTGGATAAGAATGATAAGAAAAAAATGGGGGGGGGAATTCCCCTTTTAACTACTGCACTCTGGTTTCTTTGGCAACATCCAAATATAGAATCATTGAATTTTAAAGCTAGTTCATTTAAAAATCTTAGAGTAAGTGTACCAATGTGCAAAAGTGTGATTAAATAGAAAACATTAGAAGATCAATCTTGCCACACCGGTATCTCTAGATTAATATTACTGCTCACCAATGTGGGTACTTCCCCGTTGGCCCAGGCTGCAGTCCCTCTCTGCTACTTTGTCCTATGTAATTTTGTGCATGTCTTTCCATAAATTCTCCATAGATTATCTGTTCAATTTATTGGAGGCCTTTATTAGAGATCTTTTAAGATTTCTGGGCTGCCAGTGCCTATTCAGGCTGCTGCTGTTTCATCCCTTGCTCCCAATACAATATCTGCGTCTCTCTATGACTGAAGAGTGAGCCTTGCAGTCCTTGTGAGAAAATAACTAGGCCTCAGAAGAAAACCTAAAGTGACCGTGAGGTGAGGCTCCGGAAGTGATAGGAATGATGTAATTGGGTTGTCTGAGGAGAAAGAGAAAAAGGAGAAGAGACAATCCACGTCCATCCTGAGGCTGATGAAGGGATAGATAGCAAGTATCATTACAGTTGATGCAGGTAAAATAGTTTAAGAGAATGCAAACATAATAGGAAACCAAGAAGAGTGAGGCAAGAAGATATGTTACTGTAATACCAGTATATTAAAAAAATTTACCAGCTAAGATTATTCATACGTGGAAATAGTTATGCTTCTTTCCTTTGAGCCCTTTAAAATTGAGGGGTTTTTTTATCATTATTTTCTGTTTTTACATTGTTTAGATTTCCCTCTTTATTCCTTCTCTTACTCCCAGAAAAAGCTGACATTTTATACAATGTTTCATGCCCATGGACTCATCACCTTTGCAAAGGAGTAGGGGATAATTTCCCCCTTATATCTTTTCTTTGGGCCAAGCTTTTTCTGTGTAACTTTGCACATTCATTTTTATTTGTGCTTTCCATTTATATTGTAGTCATTGTCAGAGTGAATTAAGCAGAGTGAGGAAAGCCATATACACACAATGACTCCTAAGAATCTTATACATCATCACATTAAGGAAGAATTTGAGTGCCAAGGTACAGCAACTGTTGTTAGAAGGTAATGGGAAGGAATTTGCAGTGTGGTTTTATTTAAGGCCTGCGTTTTACGCTTCCATGGGTGGAAATCTAGCATCATTTCTTTAAAAAGTGTTCTGAAGCAGACCCATCCTGTGTGTTGTCTTTTTTTGATTGGCTTTATTTTTTTTCTTTTGGAGGTGGAGTTACATATTTTTACCTATCTAAGATGTGGCTAGAATTCTTTTCCTCTGGCTCCAGTAGAGAATGAAAAATCCATTGTCAGTTTTCTGCTTAGCCATCTGCCATGAACTAGCTTTGACTTCTAGACACTTGGTGACAGACTGCTGTAAAGGAACTAGGTATTTAAGACAGGGCACCTAGTTCCATGTCCTTTCCTTGTCAGTAGTTTTGTGTGTGGATATGAGTGGTACAGCTAAGGAAATGAGATAAAAGAATTAGGGTAACTAATTTCAAAATACATTTTAACAAACTGATTTTGGTAATGAGTATATGTTAAGTGAAGAGTAGAGAAACTCATAATCCTTTTCTCTACATATGTAGTTTAGAAGAAAAAAAGGTTATGCTAGACTTAGCATGACAAGATCTGAGCTAGAATCCAGGATAACCTCTTGGAGCCTCAATTTCCCCATTTATAAAATGGGGATTAAAATCTTACTACTTGCCTCACAGTCCTCAGATTGCTGGATGTGATAAATTACTCAAATGATAATGTGTATGTGCTATAGGAAGGTGATCTATCACGGTTAAATATTTTCTTTTGTAGAATTAAACAAGGCACGAGCAAGGGTGGAGAAATGGAATGTAGACCATTCTAAGAATGATCGGGTAGTTCGAGAACTTCGAGCTCAAGTTGATGATCTGACTGAAGCAATAGGTGCAAAGGATTCCCAGCTGGCTGTGCTGAAAGTGAGATTACAGGAAGCTGATCACCTGCTGAATACTCGAACTGAAGCCTTAGAAGCACTACAGAGTGAAAAATCACGGTAGCTTTCAAATTGCAGGAGATGAGAGATCATTCAAGGATAATGTGAAATATTCCAGAAATCTTCTGTTTTAGTTAAATACAACTGATGAATGTCCCAAAGAGGGAAATTTAGTTGTTTTCTAAACTTTCAAAATGCATATTTACTATAATAAGCAGGTTTTCAACCTGGAAATATTTGGTTTGAAAAAAAATAATCCTTAGCTAAGAAATAAAAGCAATTAAGTATCCTAGCTATAGCAAGTCATCCAATATAAGAACATTGCTGTCACATAATTACAGACTTGATGACTGCTTATATTCTGGTGCATTAAAATATTGGCATTGGCTACTAACAAAAGGAAAATACTTCAACATAAAACCTAGTCAAGCCATCATTTTGTTACGGGTTGAAGTGTAAGGAGACACTTTTTAAATTGGTCTACTTAATCACTTAATTATTTAATTCAGTATTTTGATAGCCACTCATGTAAAATAATATGCTTTGCACACAGATGCTTAATAAATGTTTGAATGAATAAATGGATTCTTTCTTTTAGATTACTGCAAGATCACAGTGAAGGGAACAGTATGCAAAATAAAGCTTTGCAAACTCTACAAGAAAGACTGCATGATGCTGAGTCGGCCTTGAAGCGGGAACAGGATAGTTACAAGCAGATGCAGGTTAGAATGGCAGATACTATAAGGGGAATTATTTTTCCAATATCATGTCATTCTGTCTGTACATGTATCTTTTCTAACAGAACTACACAGTGCAGCATTTCAAGAAATACCTTGTTTCTTTAGACAAATAAACCAGACTTTTAACATTTTTAGTATGACAAGTGGGACATTTTTACTTCAGTCTTGTTAAAGTTATAAAGTAAGTGGAATATACATATATATTTGTACATATATATTATATATGTAGTGAGAGTTCACAGTTTCATAGACATTCACAGTTAAATCTGTTAATTTTTAAATTTGTTATTGTTGGTAACTTTAGAATTACAAAAATTAGCTTGATTCTGAAGTTAACAGAATTCATGTTTTGAGACAGTTCATGTGATTTTTTTCAGATTTGATAGATTGTGTATTTCTTGGACTATTGTTTTTGAAATTAATTTTTTTCAATTAATGAAAACTCTTCCTCCAACCTACCTCTCCTCCCTTGAAAAAAGAATGGGGGGAAAAACCCTCTCGTAATAAATATGTGTAGTCAAGCAAAATAAATCCCCCTCATTGGCCATACCTAGAAAAGTGTGTCTTAATCTGCACTCTGAGTCTCTCTCTTCTCAGTAGGTGCTTAGTGAGTCCTTGGGAAGTGTGGTTGGTCATTCTGTTGATCCAAGTTCTTAAATCTTTCAAAATTGTTTTTACAATGTTTACATTATTGTATAAATTATCACTCTGCTTCTGCTCACTTCATTCTACATCAGTTCATGTAAGTCTTCCTAGGTCTCTCTGAAACTGTCCCTTTCTTCATTTCTTATAGCAGAACATCACAGCGCGTTCATATGCTGCGATTTGTTCAGCTGTCCCCCAACTGACTGATATGCATTTTCTTAGTTTGTAGTTCCTTGTCACCAGAAAAAGAGCTACTGTAGATATTTTTGTATGTATGAGTCCTTTTCCTCTATCTTTTGGGAAGTGGTAGCAGTAGTACTGCTGGATTAAAGGGTATGCACTGTTTAATAACTTTTTGGACATAGTCCGTAATGGCTGGATTAGTTCTCATTTCACAGCTTCACCAACAGACAGTGTCTGTTTTCCCAATTACATTTTAATCTGGAGCTGCCATTTAGAGAGTTTTGCCTCCAGGCTGCAAGTTTTGTTTTGGCAAGTTTTGCCAAGTCTGGTTTTGCCAATCTGATGGGTTTGAGGTGGAACCTTAAAGTTGCTTTAATTTCATTTGTGATTTGGAAAATTTTTTCATATGATTATTGAAAACCTAGGTTTCTTAATCCAAAATTTGTCTCTTCATATTCTTTTACTATTTATCAGTTGGGAAATGGCTCTTATTTTTATAAATTTGAATTAGTTCATTGTTTATCTTAGACATGAGACCTTTATGAGGGAAACTTGTAAAGAGTTTTTCCCATTCATGTACTTCTCTTCTAATGTTAACTACCTTGGTTTTGTTTGTGCAAAAGCTTAAGCATTTTATGCTATCCAAGCTGTTGATTTTAACTTCTGTGATCCTTTCTAATCCCTAATTTAGTCATGAGCTCTTCCCCATTTATAGATCTGAAAGTTAATTTATTCCTTGCTCCTCTGATTTATTTATGAATTAATGTAATTAATATATTTATGAAACATTCCTTTTGCCCTTTAATCAAATGCTTAGCTTTAGCTTTGGGGTCATATTTAGAATTTCTAAATTTGCTTCTGTCTTTCTATGAATTTGACATTATGTCTTGCTTTCACATGCTTTGACAGAGCAATTTTTCTCAAGTTTTATGTACCAAAATCCTATTTGCTCTGGTGCGTATGGTGAGTGACTTTGCATTCGTAATGGCCAACTTAAAAAAAAAAAATGATTGGGCCCCCAAATGTGTCAGCATCCTGCTAGGCAGTTTTAAAGTACGTGTGTTTTTTTTAATCTAGCAAATTTTTACTATTTATTTTTTTAATTTAATATTTTATTTTTCCCTAATTACATGTAAAAACAGTTTTTAACATTCATTTTTAAAATTGAGCTCCGAATTCTCTCCCTCTCTCCCCAACCCCCTCATTGAGAAGGCAAGCAATTTGATATGGGTTATAAATGTATGATCGTGTAAAACAAATTTCCTTATTAGTCATGTTGTAAAAGAAAACAGAACAAAATAAACCCAACCAGAATAAAGAAAGTAAAAAATTATGCTTCAATCTGTATTCAGATTCCATCAGTTCTTTCTCTGGGGATGGATAGCATTTTTCTTAAGTCCTTCAGAGTTGTCTTGGATCATTGTATTGCTGAGAATAACTGAGTCATTCACAGTTGATCATCTTACAGCATTGCTGTTACTATGTACAATGTTCTTCTGGTTCTACTCATTTCACTTTGCATCAGTTCATGTAAGTCTCCCCAGGTTTTTCTGAGAGCATCCTTCTCATCATTTCTTTTATGACAATAGTATTCCATCACAATCATATATCACAAGTTGTTCAGCCATTCCCTGATTGATGGACATCCCCTCAATTTCCAATTCTTTGTTGTCAGAAAAAAGTTGCTATAAATATTTAGGCATAGTTCCAAATTGCTGTACATAATGGTTGAATCAGTTCACAACTCCAACAGTACATTAGTGTCTCAATTTTCCCACATCTCCTCCAACATTTATCATTCTCCTTTTCAGTCCCATCAGCCAATCTAATAGGTGTGAGGTAGTACCTCAGTATTGTTTTAATTTGCTTTCCTCTAGTCAGTCGTGATTTAGAACATTTTTTTCATATGGCTATAGATAGCTTTAGTTACTTCATCTGAAAACTTCATATTTTTTGATCATTTGTCAATTGGGGAATAACTTATTTTTATAAATTTGACTCATTTCTTTATATATTTGAGAGATGAGGCCTTTATCAGAGAAACTTGCTTCAAAATTTTTTTCACAGTTATGATTGCTAACTGTATTTCCCTCCATCCTATTTCCCCCCTTTTTATACTATTTTCTCTCTCCTTTCACCCTGTACCCCCTCAAAAGTGTTTTGCTTATGACTTGCCTCTTCCAATCACCTTCACTTCTGTGAACACCATCCCCTTCTGTTATCCCTTCCCCTCCTATTTTGCTGTAGGGCGGGGCTTCTTAAACTTTTTCAACTTGAGACCCCCTTCAGTGCTTCTTAAACTGTGGGTCACGACTGCTATAGGGTAAGATAGATTTCTGTACCCAATTGAGTGTATATGTTGTTCCTTCTTTGAGCCAATTCTGATGAGAATAAGGTTTAAATGTTCATTACCACATCCCCCATCTTCCTATCCACTGTAATAGCCCTTTTTTGCCTCTTGTATGTGAGATAATTTATCCTATTCTACCTCTCACTTTTCCTTCCTCCCAGTGTATTCCTCTTTCTCACCCCTTAATTTTATTTTTAGAACTATCATCCCATTGTATTCAACTCAAACCTGTGTTCTCTGTGTATATATACACTCCTTCCAACTGCCCTAATAATGAGAAAGTTCTTATGAGTTACACGTATTATCTTCCCATGTAGGAATGTAAACAGTTCAACCTTAATAAGTCCCTTATGATTTCTCTTTCTTGTTTACCTTTTCATGCTTGTCTTGACTCTTGTATTTGAAAGTCAGATTTTCTGTTCAGCTCTGGTCTTTTCATCAGGAATACTTTTTTTTCCTCCTCAGTTTTGCTGAGTAGGTGATTCTTGATTTTAATCCTAGCTGTTTTGCTCTCTGGAATACCATATTCCAAGCCCCCCAGTCCTTTAATGTAGAAGCTGCTAAAACTTATGTTATCCTGATTGTGGCTCCATGATACTTGAATTGTTTCTTTCTGGCTGTTTGCAGTATTTTCTCCTTGACCTGAGAGTTCTGAAATTTGGCTATATTATTCCTGGGAGTTTTCATTTGGGGATCTCTTTCAGGAGATGATCAGTGGATTCTTTTGATTTCTAATTTACTCTGGTTCTAGAATAATAGGGCAATTTTCCTTGATAATTTCTTTCTTTCTTTCTTTCCTTTTTTTAGGTAATTGGGGTTAAGTGACTTGCCCAGGGTCACACAGTTAGTAAGTGTCAAGTGTTTGGTCTGAGGCTGGATTTGAACTCAGATCCTCCTGAGTTCAGGGCGGTACTGTATCCACTGCGCCACCTAGCTGCCCCAATAATTTCTTGAAAGATGAAATCTAAGCTCTTTTTTTGATCATGGCTTTCAGGAAGTCTAATAATTTTTAAATTATGTCTCCTGGATCTGTTTTCTAGGTTAGTTGTTTTTCTAATTAGATATTTCACATTGTCTTCTCTTTTTTTCATTCTTTTGGTTTTGTTTTATTGTTTTTTGATGTCTCATAGAGTCATTGGCTTCTACTTGCTCAGTTCTCATTTTTAAGGAATTATTTTCTTCAGTCAGGTTTTGTGCCACTTTTTCTATTTGGCCAATTCTGCTTTTTAAGGAGTTCTTCTCTTCAGTGAATTTTTGTATATTTTTTTCCATTTGGCAAATTCTAGTTTTCAAGGCATTCTTCTCATTGGATTTTTGTACCTCTTTTACTGTTTGGCCTGTTCTGTTTTTTAAGGTGCTGTTTTCTTCAATGTTGTTTTTTTGCCTCCTTTATCATGTTATTGACTCTTTTTTCATGATTTTCTTTCATCACTCTCATTTCTCTTCCCAGTTTTTCTTTTCTGTCTCTTACTTGATTTTTAAAATCCTTTTTGAGCTCCTCCATGGCCTGAGACCAATTCATATTTTTCTTGGAGGCTTTGGATGTAGGAGTTTTGACTTTGCTGTCTTCTGAATATGTTTTGATCTTCCTTGCCACCATGGCAACTTTCTGTGGTCAGAATTTTTTTTGTTTTCCCATTTTCCCAACTTATTTCTTGACTTTTAATTCTTTGCTAAAGTGGGACTCTGCTTCCAGGGTGGAGGGCGCACTCTCCCAAGCTTCAGGGATTTTATGCAGCTGTTTTCAGAGGTCCTTCTCGGGACCTGTAAGTTTTCAGTTTTTCCAAGGTGATGTAATATAAGGAGAGGTGTGTTTACTGCTCTCCTGGCCTGTGTTCTAGTCTGTGAGTGACCACAAGCACTCTTTTCTCCCTTGGGACTATGATGAAAGTCCCTGTTCCATTGTGGCTGCAAGCTGTGATGTGCTAGTGCTCCTCCTCGTCCTGGGACTGCCATCCAGGGCTGGGACCTGGATCTGAGTATGGGCAGATCAACAGAGCCTTGCCCCCAGTACCAGTAAAGAGACCCCTGTAATCTTCTGATCAGCTGTTCAACCCCCTTACTGTTTGTGGACTGAGAACTATGGAAGCAGCTGCTGATTCATTCACTCCCAAGGCGTGCTCCTGGTTTGCTGGGGCCTATTCTGCACTGGCGCAGCCTGCCGTGGACTGTGCTCCATTCTCATTCCAGCGTGACAGACCTTTCCTGACAAACTTGTAAATTATCTTGGACTGAAAAATAGTTTCACCCCATCTGTTTGTGGGTTCTGCCGCTCCAGGATTTATTTTAGAGCGTTATTTAAAAGTCTTTGGAGGAGTTTGGGGGAGAGCTCAGGCAAGTCCCTGCCCTGCCTTCTCTCTGCCATCTGCCATCTTCAAATCTTGTGTGTTTTTTTTTAAAGTGTTCCTTATATTTAAAGATTATTTCGAAGTATCTTACTAAATAGGATTAAATTTTTAAAAGTCATCCATCATTCAAGAAAAAGACTTCTCCACTTATAAATATTACATTATTCTTCTATAAAGCATTCTGGAATACCATCAACTTTAAATTCTCCAATCCATAATTGATCTGTTAAGAAGCAGCTGTATTACCTGTTGTACTAGCACTGAACTTGTAAATGTGTGTAGATCCTTAAATATGTGACTGCAGAATCAAAGCCAAAATGACAGAGTGATGATTGTGTGAACATTTCTTTCAGAGCGAGTTTGCTGCTCACCTCAGTAAAGTAGAAATGGAGCATCAGGATTTGGCAGAAGCGGTCACCGCAGCAGAAAGAAAATACTTAGACGAAAAGAGGAGAGCTGATGAGCTGCAGCAGCAGGCCAGGCTGTCCAAGGCCAGTGTGGAATCCCTTAAACAAGAACTGACTGACTACAAACAAAAAGCTTCTCGCATACTTCAGGTGAGCATAAGAGTTATACTTTTTGCTGTCAACATGTACCAGAAAATTAACTCTGAAAGAATTTGTCTAACATTATTTACTAAGGCAGTGGTGGATTTAGCTTTGAAGTTTAATAGAAGTACTAGAATTGGAGTCTAGAAGCCTTTGGTTCAAATTCTGCTTTGACACCAACTATGTGATACCTTAGTAAGTCCTTTAGCGTCTTTGAGCCTCAGTTTCCCCTTCTGTAAAACAGGGATGATTTACTTCACATTTTGCCATTTTTTTTTTTTAGCTAGGCAGTGGGGTTAAGTGACTTGCCCAGGGTCACACAGCTAGTAAGTGTTATGTCTCTGAGGCCAGATTTGAACTCAGGTCCTCCTGACTTCAGGGCTGGTGCTCTATCCACTGTGCCACCCTAGCTGCCCTATTTTGCCACTCTGAAAGGGTTATAAAAATACTAGTTTGGTACTGCTACATCATATTAAAAAATAATGTGCAGTTTATACGTAGTTTATATTCACATGGTGTTCTAGAGCTTTGCTACATATAGCATGACTCATTTTATCGTGGAAGTTAATAAAAATCATCTTAGGAATTTATTACCAGAAGTCCCAGAACAATTAGATTCCTTCATTTTTCTTTAAATGTTTCCTTGCCATGAACTCCCAAGGATTGTGCTATGTCAAGTTTACATTATTTTTATTGTTATAAATTAGAAGTATACAAACTTCCACGATAAAGAGCTTTGGATATGATTCATATGCAAGATAAAAAATTTTCATTTTTGTCATTTTGATTTTGTTAATAATAAATCTTTTTTGCACATTTAATCATTATCTCTTTTTTTTCCTTTTTAGTCGAAGGAAAAATTGATTAGCAGCTTGAAAGAAGGCTCTGGTTTTGAAGGTCTAGATAGCCATACTGCAAGTACTATGGAATTAGAAGACCTTCGGCATGAGAAAGAGATGCAAAGAGAAGAAATGCAAAAATTGATGGGCCAGCTACAGCGGCTTAGAACTGAGTTACAGGTAACCCTTATGAGGCACGGGCTCCATGATTAAAATAGTAATAGTTTGTAAGATGAATGGTGAATGGTGGCATACATGCTGGGACAAGAACATTCATGAACTAGTCTCTTTGCAGTTCATGGTGATGTCTGAATTTCTGTGCAGAAATTAATCCAGTATAACACATTTTGTGTTCACTAACTGATCAGAGTAATAAAATAACAACAAAACTTCTTTGTGTTTTAAAAATACATTTATTTTTAGCTAGTACTATTTTGGAGGAAGGAGAGAATGCCTATGAAACTGGAAGATCTTTATACCATTTGAGTAGTCTTCAGAATGATTTTAGGGTACGAGAATGATTTTTCATTTGCATAGAACTGTTCTTCTTGCTAAACTGATTTTCTCTAAGTGCCTTTAGGTGTTGATAATATATCACTTTGACGTGTTAGAAGCTCAAAAAAATTTTTTTTTAGGAAATTACATTTAGAATTGCCATTCTAGAACTGAAACTTGTGGCTTTTCTAAAAGTGAGCAGAGTCATATTTATTCATTAATACAGTAGTATCCTTGGTGACGTGTGATGCCAAACACGTAGGATTACAGTGAATGATATTAGCTATCCTTTACTTGCTACATGTTTTTCTTAATAGCCTAGACTATAGGTTACTCTGGGTACAATATTGTATATCTCCTGTTCATCCTGAGTATGCATTTTTGGTAGGTTTTTAAAAATGCTGTAGTTTATTTTAAAAAGTCTTTATACGTGTAGTCAGCTGGGGGACTAACAAATCTACCTTCAGTTTTTTTTTTAATTTGAATAATTTATTAGTTTTTAATTTTCAACATTTACTTCCATAAGATTCTGAGTTTTAAGTTTTCTCCTCCTCTTTCCCTGCTCCCTTCCCCAAGATGGTGTGCAATATGATATAGGCTCTACTTATACATTCATATTGAGCATATTTTCACATTAGTCATGATGTGAAGAAGAATTAGAACCAATGGAAGGAACCACGAGAAAGAAGAATCAAAACAAAACAACAAAAGAAAAGGAGAGCAAATAGTATGCTTCCATCTGCATTCAGATTCCCTAGTATTTTCTCTGGATGTGGGTAGCTTTTTCCATGGTGAATGAACATTTGGTGCTTGCATGCTACTGTGCAGAAAAACAGGAATGAAAACATGGTCCATCCCCTCATTGGATCTTACAGTCTAGTAAAGGAGATGAAGTGTCTAGGAGCAACTCTAAGGTTAAATATGAAAGTGGAATGAAGGATATAAAATTCAGAGAAAGAAGAAGTCACCACTAAGCAAGATTGCAAAAGGCTTATTGGATGAAGTAACATTTGAACTATGGTTTGAAAGGGTAGGGAGTTTGGACAGGTTTAGCTGGAAAAGGAATGATGTAGATGGAGATACTAGTATGAGGAGAGGCATCAAAGCGAGAAATGAACTTTCACAGAATTGGCTGGAGTGTGATGTGTGTGAAGAATAGTGGTATTAAGAGACAAAATGATATCGTGCAAACAGCACTGGATTTGAAATCAGAGGACCTGAGTTCAAATCTTGGCTCTGTTATTTACTGTGTAACTTTGGGGCAAGTCACTTACCCTCTCTGATCCTATTAACACTTCTTTAAAATGATGTGGTTGAGTAGCTCTAATTCTATGATTCTGTGAAAAAGTAGTTAAGAGTTAAATTGGAGCCACACTGAAGGTCCTTGAATGCCAGGCCCCTGTAATTTTATTAGTAGGTTACTGGGCATTCACTGAAGGTTTTTTGAGAGTAACATAATTTGGTTCAACAGTTGTAAGTGCTTACCATAGCAAAGTACTAGACTAGGCATTAAATATGCAGTTTAAAAAATAAATGTTTCTGTCCTGAAGGAGCTTACATTCTGCCTGATAAAAGCTAAGCTCTGGCAGCATCATGAAGTGAAAATTAGGGAAGAAACAGACTGGAGTCAAAAAGAAAGAGAAGATACAAGAAAATTAAAAAGCAATAAAGGGGCCCCAAACTAGAGTCTTGGTTATGAAACAAAGAGAATGGGACAGATATGAAAGATTTTTGTGACTTCATTGGTATTGGAACTCCAGGTGAGGTAATACCTTTTTCCAGTGAGGGCTGGCCTCTTCTCTGCAGCTTAGAGTCTTAAAGAGTTGCCCAAAGCACTGAGAAATTAAGTGACTTTCTAGGATCTCGCCACCAATGTCAGAGGCAGGATTTTCCTTGTCTTCTGGCTTCAAAGCCCACCCTATCTAGTGCACCACTCTATCTATTATGAAAACAGTATTTTATAAATCTAAAGCATTGCATATTGAGAACTGTTGTTGCTAGAGAATTTAGTAATTGACCTTTCTGTACCTTTCACCTTTGGATTATCTACCCACTATTTTTTCTGTATATTTCAAAATTAATTATGCATTTGCTTGCAGTAGAGGATGGTTTGGTGGTGGTGTTATACCTGGCACCTTTACCAAGTGCTTTCCAGGTATCTTTACCTTATGCTTCAAGGAGGTGGCATGGTAGAGTAAAAATAGCACAGGACTTAGAAGGTCCAAGTTTTAATATTGTCTTTTCCACCTAATAGGGTAAATATTTTTTAATTGGAATTAAATTACTGTGATTAGGCAAATGCACATTCATTCCTGATATATAAAATGGAAGTAATATGTACTCTACAGCCTCACAAGTTTACCATGAGTGTCAAATTATTCCATAAGGGTTTATCAGGTATGTTCTTTAGTAGGTGCCAGACACTGTGCTAGATTTAGGGAACCCAGAGACAAAAACAAAACATGCTTTGCCTAAAATGTGGAGTTTACATTCTATTAAAGGTGAGATATACATATATAAATATGTACAAAATAAATACAAAGTACTTTAGTTGGGTTGGGTTTTTACTAGCAGCTGGAAGGGTCAGGCAGGGCATCATTTAGAAGGTGGTCCTTGAGCTGATCTTTGAAAGAAACCAGAGGTTTTTGGAGGTGGGTGAGAAGGTGTTCCACCATGGAGTGCCATTTGTGCAGAGCCATGGAGAAGGGACAGTGGAGTGTTAGGTGCAAGGGAATATCACGAAGGCTAGTTTGGCTGGATGGTGGAATCAGAGTAATGGCTGGTAAGTCTGGGAAGTAGACAGGATTGGGTTGTGAAAGGCTTAAATGCTAAAGAGCTATGTTTGTATTTGGTTCTATGGGTAGTATACTTCAAGGATCCCTGATTGCATCAGTGTAGGGCATCATAAAAATTAGGGCCCTGCAGCCAACTTGGTGGTGTTTCCACATTTAGCTAGGTGGTCTTCAGACAACAGATGTACAGTCCTTTGCCAGGCTGGTGCTCAGAGGCGTCCTGCCAGCTTTTGTGCTTTTTTGGTAGATCCTTCAAGAAACTCGGACACAAAGGGAGGTGTACAGGGCAAGACATAAAGTAATCTTACTCTGAATAGAAGCCTTCCCCCCAAAATTATGTCAAGAAAGCATGCACCCATTATAAATTACTGTCAGGTTTTGTAAAAGTCCCACGGAGGCAGTGCTCTATGGCGTATATTCTGACTAACTTAGTAAATATAAACTATTGTTATTAACTTAATTTGGTTACTTTTTTCTTTTTTAGGACATGGAAAATCAGCAGGTAAGTGAAGCTGAATCTTCAAGAGAACGGCTGCAAGACCTCCAAGAGCAAATGGCTGAACAGAAAGCGGCCAGACAGGAAGTAGAAGCTGAGCTAGAACGTCAGAAGCAGGTGAGCGTTGTCTTGTCAAGACTAGAAGGAAATCTGCCATCTGCTTATTGGGTGTGGGAAACCACCACACAGAACACTTTATTTAAAGTCATGTTTATTTCAGTCTCCAAGACAACATTGATTTTAAAGTCATGACTAAATCTGTAGGTGTAGGAAGCTGTCAAACAGCACATAATTGATCTGATTAGCTGGCCATATTTTCTGTGAATGATTAACAGTTTTTTGATATGCTGGAAAGAGTACCTGATTTGAAGTCAGAGGAGTTGGGTTCAAATCCTGACTCAGCTGCGTGCCATCTTTGTGACCTTGAGCAAGTTGCTTAGCATCTTGGCCTTCAGTTTTCTCATCTGTAAAGTGAAGGGGGTTGGATTTCTAATGTCTTTTTTAGCTTTAAATCTATGATCTTATGAAAAAGGGCTGGAAAGAGCGGACTGGGGTCAGATTGTGGCTGGCTGTGAAATATCATGTATCTTTATGGAGATGACTTCTGAGGCCGTTTTCAGCTCTCAATCTGTAATCCTGAATCTGTCACTATTTTAATACCTCTTCTGTTTGAAGAGGCAAAGCATTGCTGTTAGGACGTAAAAATGCCTGGTGAAAACCTTTTAGAATCAAGAGTGCTCTAAGAGAAACATGCAGTTAATTTAATGGGACAAAGAGATAACTCACACTTAAACTGGGTAAAGAATAGTTTCATTATTGAGTTCTGCATTCTTTACTCAGTCTCCTCATCTGTAGGTTATAGAGCTACATGATCTACTTGATAGAGTGTAAAGTACTTTATTATCATTAAGTGCTTTATTAATGTAAACTCTTCAGAGAGTTTAGGGATCAAAAGCCTCCATTAACTTGAAGCTTTGCTTTATGTAAATCATTGTAAGTGTAAAACCCCTGAGAGCAGTACACTAAATTTGGGCTAAGTTGTTGGCAGTTCCTGTTTTTAATTTATCATACACATTCTACATAATAAAATGTGTATTTTTTATAGCATAGTCTTGCTAACTTATAGTTATTTACATAGCTATTTATATTGTCTACACAAAGCTAAAGAGGATCCCTGGATGCTATACAGAGTCTGTATAACTTGCCTTTGATATGACTACTGTATTTGGAGAACTAGAGTGACAGTGTTCAGATACAGAGGAATTAATTGTTGCATTTGATCAAAGCCAATAAATAACAAACGTTAGCATTTTACTAATCTGGGATGTTGTTAAGGGTAACTACTAAGTAGAATTGTGAAGGAACGGAAAACTATTCATTTAATAATATTTTTAGAGCAAAAAGACAATGTTTTTAGGCAGAACAATTAACTTCAGCAAGAAGATTTTAATTTTTCCAGTTTTAAGAATGCTCATCATTTGTTCTAGAAAATCAGGCTTAGATAGGCACTTCATTGTATAATGATAAAATTCACATGTATAGAGCACTGCAGGGTTTGTAGAATTCTTCCTTGAAAAGAGCCTTGGAAAGCAGGTAGTGTAGGTATTATCCTCATTTTACGGATGAGGAAACTGGGGCTCTAAGGGAGTAAGTGACTTGTCCAGGAGACCACAGATGGTGAGTATCAGAGTCAGGAAACAGGAATTTTTACTTTTCTGTATTAAGCCAAATAACATGTAACATTGGTAGCTTTTTCAAAAGCTTGATATTAAGTCAGTATAGTTTTTATGTATTTTTTGTGTTTCCTGGAAATTGGTATTTTCTTTGTCTTAGCTTGATAAAAGCTTTTGAAGTATTTGTTCCTTTAGGAGTTATTACTTTTAAAACAGTGGTTTCTATTATCACACAATCTAGTTGCCCTTAGGAAGTGAGGTAAAGGTCTCTATATTTCATAAGTAGCAAATGAGAACCACAAAAAACAAGCAAACTACAGAGTACATCACAACCTCTTAGCAGGCAATTCAGTTTATGGGATTATCTGTCCTTTCAGAAATGACATTTTAATTAACTTGGGCAGCTAGCATGTAATTAAACAGCACAGATTCAATTTTTTTGATGATTAGGGATTATCTTTACTTTTTAACCACAGCAGATGGTATACCATTTCCTGTTAAGAGTGCTCTTTAAAGTAAGGGTGGCAGTAAGAGAAAAGTTGAGTTGAATGTACGCTTAGTCCACTTATTCATTTGGCACATTTTATGGACCTGAAACACTTTAGTGTATTGGGATCAAATAGCCTCCTAGGGTTTCTGTATTCCTTTAACTTAAGCAGTGATAACCATAACATGTCTACCTCCCTACAGGCCTATAAAAAAATCAGGTAGATTATTGTTAAGCATTTACGTTGACTATTATCCTTCCTAAGTTACTGTTCTGGTTTCTCCTCTCATTTCTGCACTCCTTTGATTTTTCTATAAAATGAAGGTGTTAAAGTCTGTGATCCATTTTAGCTCTATCCTTTGTTACATGTTTCTCTGACTTCCCCTAGTCTCAACTTTCAGCAGCACTCCCTTTCTTGTATTATCTACATAACTGAAGTATGTAACTTTTGAAACATTATTTGGTTACTCCTTATACGTTTGGGAGTGTTTGAGTAAACTTAGCGTTCTTGGCTACAAAAACATGGAGTAGTTCCATAGTCAAATGGGGTCCTTGCTGACACTAGCAGCTATAGAAAATAATGAAGCTCGTAAAACTGGCTAAGTGAGACAAGAGGGTTTTGGTTTTTCAGTTTGTTTTGTTTTTGTTTTTTCTTGTAACAGTAGAGGTAAAACAAAAAAGGATACAAAATGATCTTTGACAGATAGTCCTAGAAGGAACAATCAAAGAGTCTGGCCTGAAATAATATTTAATTGGTTTTGACATAATCCAGCACTTTAGCTAGTTTCTTAAACAATGTGTTAGAATGAAGTATTTTGGGGGGCAGCGAGGTGGCGCAGTGGATAGAGCACCAGCACTGGAGTCAGGAGGACCTGAGTTCAAATGCGGCCTCAGACACATAACACTTACTAGCTGTGTGACTCTGGGCAAGTCACTTAGCCCCAATTACCTCACCCCACCTACCCCCCCCCAAAAAAGAATGAAATATTTTCTTCTTAATTTGATAACCTCTTTTGTAGTACAGTCATTGAGTTTACCTGATGTTTTGAGTTATCAGTCTTTGGAGCAAGATATTAGTTGTTCAAGTGTTAATTATTTCTATAATAACTGAGCTTCAACAAGAGTGTATTCCAGTTCTTGAAAAGCCTATTAATGTTTCTTATTCATTTTTAAGGAATTCAGTTATACAGAAGAAGAACTCTGTCGAACCAAAAGTATACTACAAAGCAGAATTAAAGATCGAGAAGATGAAATCCAGAAACTCAGGAATCAGGTATTCATCATGCAGTGTTCAAAATTTTTGGAAAAAGTGACAGTGTAGGAAGGTGATCCATTTTAGACTGTGTCTCTTTGGGAAATAATAAAACGATAACAGCGCTCTATTTATTTTTATTTATTTATTTGTTCATTCATTCATTTATTTTGCTTTTAGGCAATTGGGGTTAAGTGACTTGCCCAGGGTCACACAACTAGTAAGTGTCAAGTGTTTGGTCTGAGGCCGGATTTGAACTCAGGTCCTCCTGATTTCAGGGCTGGTGCTCTATCCACCGCGCCACCTAGCTGCCCCCTTTATTTATTTATTTTTGTTTTACAGTGCTTTATTTTAATTTGAGCTCTGTTTTCAAGAATGGAAAGGTGAACCAAGAGCTATTACCAACCTTGTGGGGGCCTAACTATAGATTCGTGGAATTCATTGAAAGGGACTTTAGAGGTCTAGATTAGTCCTCTCATTTTACTGATGGTGAAACAAGCCAGGGAGATTTAAGTGTCTTACTTGAGGTTACGTAGAGTCAGAGCCCAAGACTGCATATTCTATATTTTCTGGCTTGTTTTGGTACGGGTGTTTTGTTGTCATTGGGCCTTGTGTGAAGTAGACACTCAAAACATTTGCATTGCATTGAAAGTGAATTTGGTCAGGTATGCTTGGAATACATATACATTATTCCAGTGTGCAAAACATAGTTTTCAGTGGTGGTGATTGCTGTTAACAGTGTTCTCTAAGCCCATAGCTAAATGAATGTATAAACCTCCCTGCTAAAGACTCTTTGGTCTGTCTCAATGTCACGAAGGACCAGTAGATTTACTTATTCCATTGTCTTGTAGCTACACTTAACCTTTAGTTTTATTCATTTGTTTTTTCATTTAAAAAAATTTTATTTATTTATTTATATTGATTAATCAACAATCACTTCCATAAGCTTTTGAGTTTTAAATTTTTCTCCCCTTCCCTCCCCAGGACGGCACGCAATCTAATATAGGCTATACATATACATTCCTATTAAACATATTTTCACATTAGTGATGTTGTAAGGAAGAATTAGAACCAATAGGAGGAACCACCAGAAAGAGGAAACAAAACAGAATAGAAGGAAAAAAAGAGTAAATTGTATGCTTCTATCTGCATTCAAACTCCATAGTTTTTTCTCTGGATATGGGTAGCATTTTCCATCGTGAGACCTTTGGAGATGTCTTAGACCTTGCATTGCTGAGAAGGGCTAAGTCTGTCAGAGTTAGTCATTGTACAGCATGGCTATTGCTGTGTACAACACTCCCCTGGTTCTGCTCACTTCACTCAGCAACAGTCCATACAAGTCTTTTCAGGTTTTTCTCAAGTCTGCCTGTTCATCATTTCATATAGCACAATAGTATTCCATTACATTCATATACCACAACTTCTTTAGCCATTCCCGAATCGATAACAATCACCTCAATTTCTAATTCTTGGCTACCACAAAAAGAGCCGCTATAAATATTTTTGTGCATGTGGGTCCTTTTCCCGTTTTTATAATCTCTTTGGGATGTAGCTCTTGAAATGCTATTACTGGGTCAAAGGCTATGCACATTTTTATAGCCCTTTGGGCTTAGTTCTAAATTGCTCTCCAAAATGGTTGGATCATTTCACAACACCACCAACAATGCATGAGTGTTCCAGTTTTCCCACATCTTCTCCAACATTTGTCATTTTCCTTTAACCTTTACTTTTAATTAGATGATATATAAAGACACGTGTATCAGTGACTCGTGCTGTTTTCAGAATTTTTTCTAAAGACATATTTAATTCTTTGGTACTCCACTTAGGCATGGAGCTTGTTTTTTTGATGAACCATAGAAAATCAAATGGTCTTAAATTTTGACTGAAGTATCTATCCTTAGATAATTATGAAGAGTAATTTTAGACTAGGGAAACTAAGAATATAATTCACATTACTACATAACTAACCGTTACAGTATATGGTTATACAGTCTTGGTAAATATAGAACATTTAACTGAACTCTTTCGCCATCTTCTTCCCTTGTCAGTTCTCTGGAGGTGCAGAAAGAAGGGAGAATCAGAGGTTATATGTAAACCAAAAATAGGATCAGCCCTGCTAAATTCATTTTTTTCATTCCACTTATGTATTAAAAGTGCCCCTTGCTAGATGCTAGATAACCAAGAGTTATAGTAGGATTTTTGGTAACAGTTATAAGTCTTAAATATGATAGAGAGAATTTTTCCTTATAGAAGAAAGTATTAATCAAAAAATGTAGTCTATTGAAACCTTACAAATAACCACCACCTAGAGTGATCAATGATTTATGTTTTATGAAAAAAGTTTTGGAGGAAAAAACTTATTAGACTAAGTCATACTTAGTGTCTGCAAGACTGACTTAAAATAGATTGGTTATGAAATTATTTAAAAATCTTAAAAACTGTTCTTGCTGTAAGCAAATAGACTTTCATTTGTTGTGTTAACAGCTATCAATGTGCTTGGTCCTATGCTAGGTGATATGGGAGGGAGACACAAAAATAATATAAGGTACCCTTGCCCTTCAGATTAGGGAGGCAAGATTCATTTGCATAAAACAAAGATTATCATTCAGTACCTGTTAAGTGCCAAGATTTGTGGTAGGTGAAAGAAATTTAAAGAAGTAATGCATGTGTGGGCTGAGAAAGGCTTCATCAGGATTTAGGAATTGATTTGGACCCTGAAAGGTGGGTAGGATTTGGATAGGTGACAATTTAAGTGAATAGGGCATTCTCAGCTGGGGGAAATATAAACACAACCATTTAAGAAAAAGACCACCAACCTAACAAAAGACATGTGGTAGGAAGTAGTGGAAAAAGGATTAAGTGGAAATGGTTGGTCTTAAACCATGGAAGGTTTTAAGTGCCAACAAAATTTTCTTTTTATTTTGTAAGCAGTGAGTAATCATTGTGCATTTTTTAAACTAGGAATGTTAGAATCCAGCTAGAGAATTAACTTTAGTTTTGACTTATAGGCTCTTAATTATATGATTTGTATAGTATGGAATTGTGACTTATTTCGTGAACTGACTGAAATATTCAGACACCTTTTTTGACTTTCAGCTCACAAACAAAACTCTAAGCAATAGCAGTCAATCAGAGCTAGAAAACAGACTTCATCAGCTGACTGAGACACTGATTCAGAAGCAAACTATGCTGGAGAATCTTAGCACCGAAAAGAACTCTCTTGTTTATCAGCTGGAGCGGCTTGAGCAACAGATAAAGTCTGTCCCTGGGCATAGTAATGGACCTTCTATTAATATGTCTGGAATTGAAGGTGTTGAAGGTAATTGGAAGAAGAATCCTGAAAGGTTGTACAATTTAGAGAATCTAGCTTTATGCTGTATCTTACTGACCTTAATTCTTCACATTAGGAAGCATTTTTTATTTTGTCTAACTACAGTAAGTAGTTTGACTAATGATGAATTAGATAATAAATAGTTTCAGGAGGAGAAATTAAAGAAATTAGTATCTTATCTGGGGAAAGGGAGGCTACAGTTGTCTTACATTATGAAGAATTATTAATAGAAGGCTGTGTATCATAGTTAAGCTTAGTGGGTACTAACATTCAAGCTTAAAAGCAAGAGTTGCTTTAGTAATCTACCTATGAATAATGGAGAGCTTTTGAACTAAATTCTCATACATAGATCTGCTCTCTTAAATTCTGATAAATATCATAGTTCAAAAATAAAAGCCAAAGATAATTGATAGTATTAACCAACACAAACATTTCTTTCAAAATATCTTATTTAAATGCTGCAAATTAGTGATTCAGTATTGCCATTAGTCCTTTGGCTTAGACCTTGAGAGTCTTCATGTAGATGAGTAGTAATAAAGGTAGAGACAGTTCTTTTTAGTAAAAAAAAAAAAGGCTACAAATAGAACTGTGTAATAACTGGCTGTTCTTTTTTTTTTTTAAGGAACCCGTGTACGAAATGTTCCTGTTCTTTTCAGTGATTCAGAAGCCAACATGGCAGGAATGTATGGTAGAGTACGGAAAGCTGCCAGTACTATCGACCAGTTTAGGTAAGAGGAGATGCCAAAGAACTAGTACTTGTAATTTAGGGTTGAGATCCACAAATTATTCTGAAAAGTCTTCCCAGTCATGGAGAGTAAAGCACATCATTTTGCAGAGTTTTGCATAGTTTTAATAGTGACATTTGTCGTGCTCATTTTAAGAAAGTGGACACGGGACTTACTTTACATATTCCCAGAATAGTGTCACTGAAACGTGAACTTTTAATGGAACATGATTAAACCTGGCTTTTCTTTCTTTTCTTTTCTTTTTTTTTTTTTAAAGCTAGGCAGTGGGGTTAAGTGACTTGCCCAGGGTCACACAGCTAGTAAGTGTTATGTGTCTGAGGCCGGATTTGAACTCAGGTCCTCCTGAATCCAGGGCCAGTGCTGTATCCACTTCGCCACCTAGCTGCCCCGTAGCTTTCCTTTCTATAAATTATATTATCACTTAGTCTTTTTAATTGAGAAAAAGACTCTATTTGTCCTGTATTTTACTAGACTAATGGAACAAATTTTATTTTAAACAAGTAATAATTTAATTTTAGTACAAATTTTAACATTTTTGTAAATAAAAGCAAACTTACATTTATCGTTAAAAGGAAATGTGTTCACATAATCTTTATGTAACCTGAAGAGTTGAATATTGGGGACCTGTTAACTTGTACTTGCTACACTTTACGTCAGTACTCCATAATTTAAATATGAAAGTCTAATGCATTGAAGTCCTATCTCATGTTCAAGGCCCAGCTCAGATGCCTCCCCTTTATGATGATGGTGGGAGAAGGCAGATCTGCTAACTGCTCATTTTGGTGGAGAGTAAAATGGTGCAAAGAAGTGGGGGAGGAGGGGAGTTTTCTTGACCGGTGCCATTTTTGCCTTAGTTTCTGTTCTGTCGTACCCTCTAGAAGTGAGGGATTCTAATCAAAAGTCTCCAAGAAACAGAGTAGTTTCATGAAAATAGTAGTGACCTCAAGGTCAGAAGACCTGGGTTCAAATTAGGTTCTGCCACTTATTAGCTGTATGACTTTGAAGAAGATCCTGTGCCTCGTGGCTCCAGTTTCTTCCTTCATCCATAAAGTTGGGAGAGTGTTGGTTGTGCTTCTTCCCTCCCAAGGCTGTTGAGAATCAAAGGAGATGATGCCTGTAAGGCTCTTTGTTAGTGTAAAACTCCATGTTAACTGCTGCCATGACAACTTCTCATCAGGGTCACAGATGGCACTTCTTGGGTGGGGTTCAGTTGCATCCCACCCAGCTTTGTTGTTAGTCTCTTTTTTATTTCTAGGAGAAAAATTGAATGGTAGAAATTTTTATTGAGTCAGGCTAGCCTCGTGTTGATGTAACCATAGGGGTGAGAATCACAGAATGTCAGTGCTGGACAGACCTTAGAAATCATCTGGTTCAACCCCCTCGATTTGCAGATGAAGAAACCGAGGCCCAGAGAGGTAAAGTGGCTTGCTCGGTGTCATACAACCAGTAAGTGGAAGAATTGGGCCTTGATCCTAAGTCCAGCACATCTACCTTCTACCTATTCTGGGCTTTCTCCAGTTGGGGTTTTGTCTTTGTAGCAGGGGACAGAGCTTTTAACTATGACAACTAAACCATAGTTATTCCCCTTAAAGATGACAGCGATAAGTAGCTTACATTTGTGTGCTGCTTTGCTGTTTCCTTACTGAAGAGCTGTACATACACTATCTTGTTTGATCTTCCCAGCAGTCCTGTGACACAATGCAGTTTTTCTGATGAGGAAAAAGGCTTAGAGGTAAAGGGACTTGGCCGTGGTCATACAGTTAGTAAGTGGCAGACTTTGTGGCTTTAAGACCAGTGTTCTTTTCAGCACTTACAACTATGAATTATTGCTGGAATAGTTATTCTAGGTTAAACGGTCTACTCTGAGTTTTTAGAAAAGAAATTGTACTAGGTGGTGTGCCACTTGAATAATAAATATGGCTGGGGTAGAATAAGACTGTTACCAGTCAAGGGAAACTTTCCTATAGAGTTTTAATTATCTTTTATGTCTGCACAGCATCCGTCTGGGAATCTTTCTTCGAAGATACCCCATTGCAAGAATATTTGTAATTATATATATGGTGAGTAAGCTCCACTGGGGAGCTGTACTTGGTCTCTTGGCTAGTTTTTTTTCTAGCTCCAAGTGTTAACTGACAGGCTAATAAAGTGTCAAATTAGTTTAGGAGAGTCATGACTTGAATTTTTTTTAAAGTATGCCATGAGAGGACTGGTGAAGTAATGACAATATTGTAGACGTGAAGTTTTTATCTGGGTCTCAGGTGACTTAAATTTCTGTGCAGCTTAATGTAACCTTTTATTTTTAAACTTGCCATATTAAAAAGTACCATACTGCATTAAAAATGGTTTTTCCTTCAAGCTTCATTAACAAATTTGTTTTAGGAGTTTGAGATACTCCTTTATCTGTTTTGAGTGTGTGTTGATTACAAAGATTAGTTAATTACATAGATGGGTATAAAAGTCATTGAGTTAAATTATGTGTAAGGTAAATTTGTTGCCCAAGCAAATAATTTCCCTAGTATATATACACAAAATGAAATTTATCAGTCATCCACTAGAGGGAAGACCTCTGTAAATTTAGAAAATGAAATAGGATGTGTTCAAAGAATTTAGAGGGAAAAACATAAAATGGATTATATATTACTAATAATGAGGGAATGATTGGCATCTGTGTTCAAGAGAAACTATGTATGTGTGTATATACACTTGTGTATGCATATAACTGTATATATACACATGCATGTGCACATATCCACACATATCAGTATGTAATGTAGGGGACATAATTTGATCTACACTGTTACTGAATCTGTGGTTATCAAGGTGCTTTATAATATAATTTTTATTGAATTTCTTTAGGGAAGAAATTAATAAACATTTACCTTCTTAGAATTTAATATCCAGCTCTGATCTTGTCTTTATTCATCAAATGGTATATATTTGACTAAGATTTCACAGAATCTTAAGAGCCTTTAAGTTGGAAGAAACCTTGAGGTCTGCTTTGCCCCCCTACCTAAAGCATGAATACCTTTTATGATATCCCCAAGTGGTTATTTAGCCTCTGCTAAAACACTTCTGTTGAGGGGAACCCACTACCTTCCAAAGAGCCCGTTCTAGTTCTTGGAATACTATGATTGTTAAGAAATTTTTCTTCCTACATCCTAGTCACCACCTGCTCATGCTTGTGTTTTGGTTTTCAAGACATTGTGGGCTCTGTTTAATTATTGCAGCAGTTAATTACTTTAGCACTGCACTCATTTGATCATTTATTGTACAGCTGTATGGGTTACCACAGCATGGATTTTGATACCAAAAATGTCTCTACTAGATTTCTAAGTTCCTTAAGTACCATGGTTGTATTGGTAAAGTACTTGGTACAATGCTGTGCACATGGTAGGTCCTCATTAAATGACTTGCTGACTAACCTATACATCATTTCTTTCTTCAGGCTTTGCTTCACTTCTGGGTCATGATTGTTCTACTTACTTACACACCAGAAATGCACCATGACCATCCAACTGGCAAATGAGCTGAGCCAGAATGATCAGTCTTTTTTCCCCTGGACTTTGGATCTGCAAAGAGTCTGTTGCCTGAAATGGTCAAGAAGGGCATATATCATTACCTGTTTTAGTACTACTTTCAATTTTTAAATTATTGAACGAATACTATGCTTTATAACTTCTTCCTCTAATTTTAAAAAAATGGTAACAGTCTCTTAGAAGAAGACATAAGCTCAGCTTAACCTTTGCTTTGCAGAAAGTTAATGGTCTAGTGTGATACGCACACATAATGGATTTTGATAAAAACATCAGGCTAGACCAGTTTGGTATAGCAGATACTATACTTTAGGTCATTACTGATTATGGGCTATAATCAGGGAAAGTAATTGTATTTAGATATATAAATAAAAGTTTTAGTTACTCTGTCTGCATTTGCATTTCCACATTTTTTACTTTGTAAATATTCCCCCCTCTTCATGGTAAAGGCCTGATTGGCTGGTGCAATATCTTTTCATAAATATTTACAGGAATAAAATCTAATGTGCATCTTTTTCTTTCTCCTTTTTTTTTCAAGAGTTTTGTGTTGTTCAGTCTAATATGTCTTGCCCAAATGATATGATAAGCAACATAACAAGGGTTGGCGAGCTGTGGCATTTACTGCTGAATGGTATTGGAGCAATAAGTGACATTCAAAACATTCTCACTGTATGCATGCATCTCTTTTGTTTTTCCCACCCTCTCTTCCTCCTTCCTGTTTCTCTTTGCTTTATCTTCTTCCTTTTTACTATCTTTTTTCCTTCTCCCTTGTCTGTGCCTTAGACCATCCCGTGGCATCCATGAGCATGGCTTAGCTCCAATAATGACACTCAGGAATCAAGCCTGTTTTAGCTACTATTTGTGCCTTCATATTTTTATACTCATACAGAGGACTTATCCAGTTGTTATTTGAAAAATGACTTTTTTGCTTTTAGAGTTAAGTGTAGTGAGCTTTGCAACTTTCTACCTACATACCTACATCCCAGAGTTTTTATGGATGTTGATGATGATGATATACTTGGACATTTTATTTTACAGTTGCTATATTGCTAAGGTATGTCTGTTTTAATCAGATTTCTTGGTTGGTAGTTAATAGAAACATATAAAACAGATAATTTGAACAGAGGTTCCTGCTTCAATATTACCATAGACAAATAGGAATGCTGATTACCACATGAACATCTGTGCTTCTTATCATTAGAAAGGAACCTTTAAAAGTGGCCTTCCAGTAGTATGTGGACCTTTCTCAGTTTTGTCTGAAGTTGGACAAAAAGATTAACAATGTAAGAAAAAGTAATGTTACTTGTATATAGGAGTCTGAGGTGTGGAAACTGATCCGTAGTCAGCCCCTGAAGTTGTCAGATGTTTTTTCTCAGGTGCAGTAGTCTATCACATGCTGAGTTGTGATGCCAGGTTTGATGCATGGGTGGAATGAAGTAATACTTCAGAAGCATTTAAAAATATTTGGTATGTGAGTTTTTGTAAAGGGTTTTCTTGTTTAAAAAATCATTCCAAATGGAGTTATTTCTTAAAAATGATTAGAAACAGCTTGCATACTTAAAATGAAAACTACCATGTGTCTCATCACTGAATATCACCAAACTTTGCTTTCTTCCTCACAGCCACCTGCCTTTTGTTGGGAAGTCTCTAAAATTTTTGCTCAGTCTTTACGCATTCTTGGCTTTGGAAGTGTTTGACAGAGCATTTCCTGAATCATACTTCTGTACATATTTAAACCTTTAATTGTGTCTCCATTTCCAAGTTCTTGACTCCTGATACTAAAACTATTTGTTTGCGTTTATATAATTCCTACCCATCCACTTAACCTCTAGTAACTTGTGACTTTTCCAACATAACTTAAAATATGATCTTGTCAAAGGAGCTTGTTAGACCATCAATCCTTTATTAAAATGATTTACTTTTCTGTGTAGTATCAAATTCTTTCTACAATGTGTATAGTATTATGGTATTTTCTGATTATGCCTATCAATTAAAAAATAGGGTTTTCTTATTTCCTTAGCCTTTTTTCTTTTACCCAAAGTGCACTGTGACAAAATATAAACTATAAGAGCGTTGGTTTTTCTCATTAAAATAGTATTTGGTGGATTGAAATGTGAAGGCATCTTCCCACCAGAATGTAAGGAAAATGTAAACTCCTTGAAGGGCAGAGACTATTTTGGTTTTAGATTTTTGTATCACCAACACCAACCTGGGTGCTTGGCACATGATAGACATAAATAAATACTTGTGAAATTGAATTGAATCTCAGTGTTCTCGTACCCTGACATTTAAGCTGCTTTCTTTGTGACTTTACACACATCTGTAGCCACATAATAGTGAGCTTCCAACTTCTTTTGCAGCTGGAAGTATGATTGTGGTAGGATTTTAGAATGTCTGGTGCCAGTCACTCTCTGTCTGTTGAATAATACCTCATGTATTTAAAGCTATTTGTTTTAAAGTTTACACAACACTTTCCTCACGGTCTTGTGTGATTTTACAAATGAGGTAACAGGCTCAAAGAAGTTAGTGATATTTAATAAGTGGCAGAGCCAAGATTTGAACCCACATCACCTAACTTTTAAGTACAGTACTCTCTAAAGTATACTGTACTGGAGGCAGCCAAATGGTACAGTGCATCAGCCCTGGAATCAGGAGGACCTGAGTTCAAATCGAGCCTCAAGACACTAGCTATGTGACCTTGGGCAAGTCACTTAACCCTGATTGCCTCCAAAAAACAAAACAAAAGTATACCATCCTGGACTGAATAGGCCTCCACCCAACTTTGTAGTCAAGGGAAATATCTCAGCTGTGCCTGATATAATAACACTTATTATCTGGTACTTAGATTTTGCAAAGCACTGTGTATGTTTTGGTACTGAGTAGCTCATGGTAGAAGAAGATGGCTGTGTGCAGAAAAAGGCCTATATATGGCAGGATGTGGCCCCTAAAAGAAGTGCAAGGTTCACTGTTACCTGGCTGAAAATCTGTGTAAAGTCACAATTTGAGAGGCAAGGAGCTTTCTCAGCAAGATGTCAGGTTGTGGGTAGTGCCTTATTCTTATGTGAGGGATCTGGGGAAAGAGTTTTCAATTCATCCACATTACTTGGGGTGTTCTGTATAACACAGATACCTCCTTGCCCTCTCCAAAATATGTAAAAATTAGGAAACAGTGTAAAAGGGGACCCAGGAAGTTGAACAAGGACCAAAGGAAATTTTTACTGAAAAACCACAGGAAATGCACCAATTAGCTTCATTTAGAATGTCTCTCTTCTCTATATCTAAATAGAAAAAAAAAGGCCTCGTATTCTGCTGGTATTCTCCTTGTCCCTATAACCCCCAATCATAACGAAGCCCATTTATTTAGAATGTGTTAAAGATGCCCAGATTCTCAACACTTCATTCTTTCTGTGTGGTTTGTTGTTTGTACTTTATTCTCGAAGAGGACCATGATATCAGCAAGGTGATGTCATGACTTGCAAGTGAATTGGATTTAAGTGAGAGAGTACGTGCAAAGTCACCAGCCATCTATGTCCAGTGGCAAGCTATAGATAAGGACAACTGGAGATGGCCCCCATAGTTTGTATTAAATATTCTAAGAAGGGACATGATCAAAATTTCAACTTGGCCCATAATGTCAGAGCTTACCTGAAGAAAAGAGATTCAGATGTGAATCATAAACTTTCCCAAATTAGTAGGGTTCTTAAATATTCTTTGGTCTGTTTCTAATTAAAGTTGACTTTAAAATTGATTAAGCAAAAATTAAGGATTAGCAATGAGAAAAAATTATTAACAACTTGAGTCACTAAGTGTGTCGTTAATATTGAAACTACTTTGTCTCCCTCCATCATCTAAGCTGGGAAAATATGTGGAGTAGATTCTTTTTTTTTTTAATTCTTTTTCTTTTTTTTTTATTAATTTATTTTGATTTATCAACAATCACTTCCATATGCTTTTGAGTTGAAAATTTTTCTCCCCCTACCTCCCCAAGACGGCAAACAATCTGATATAGGCTTTACATTTACATACCCATTAAACATATTTTCACATTAGTGAAGTTGTAAGTAAAAGTTAAAACCAATAGGAGGAACCATCAGAAAGATGAAACAAAACTCAACAGAAGGTAAAAATAAGTGATAGCGATTCGACTTCCATAGTTCTTTCTTTGGATGTGGACAGCATTTTCCATCCTGAGGCCTCTGGAAATGTCTTCTATCCTTGTAATGCTGAGAAGGGTTCAGTTTAACAATCTTAGTCATTGCATGACGTGGCTGTTATTGTGTACAAAGTCCTCTTGGTTCTGCTCACTTAACTCAGCATCAGATCATGCAAGTCTTTCCAGGTTTTTCTGAAGTCAGCCTGTTCATCATTTCTTATAGCACAATAGTATTCCATTACATTCATACACCACAACTTGCTCAGCCATTCCCCAGTGATGGGCATCCTCTCAATTTCCAGTTCTTTGCCACCACAAAAAGAGCTGCTGTGAATATTTTTGTACATGTGGGTCCTTTTCCCATTCATTTGATCTCTTTGGGACACAGCCCTAGAAGTGCTATTGCTGGATCAAAGGGCATGCACATTTTTGTAGCCCTTTGGGCATAGTTCCAAATTGTTCTCCAAAATGGATCATTTCACAACATGGAGTAGATTCTTAATAGGATAATGTAAAAACCTCTTGGGCATATAGAGGCTTTTAGTATTGAGATAAGCATTTAGTGGGAAGGTTTTAGTATTGGAATAGGGTTAGGAGGAATTCAGGTTCCTGAGTTTTCGGGAAAATATACCCAAAAGGCAGTAAATAAAATGTACTCTGTCTAGTTGACTATTTTCTCTGCCTCTTTACCAAGAAGATTCATCTTGAGGATGACATTGTTTAACAGTACGCAGTGACTGGTTATCTACATCTTTAGTAAAGAAATTTGGTGAGGTTGAGGAGAGAATAAAGAGCAAAAGACGGGAGACTCTGTTTGGGTGTGATACTTGATGTCCCTGTGAGCTTGAAGTTGGTACGACCTTCAGTGGGCCTCATACTGAGTGGCAAATAAGCTATACCATCATGAGAGGCTAGGTGGCATGGTGGGAAGAGTACTGGATTTTCAGTGTGAAGACCTGATTTTAAATCCCAGCTCAGCTTTTAATGCCTATAATGACTCCTGTCTACTTCGGTTTCCTTCACTGGTTAGTCATCCATATTTGTGTTTTCCAAAGCTCCATATTTGTCTCTCTTCCTTTTATATTCTTTATAGTAACCTCATCGATTCTCATGGATACAGTTATCATCTCTGTGCAGATGTCTCCCAGATCCACATGTCCAGCCATAGTTTTATCTCTTGAGCCCCAGTTCTGCATCAACAACTTGTCCGTTGGACGTTTCTAACTGCATGTTCCATAGGCATCTCAAGCTCAGTATATACAAAGTAATTATTTTCTTCCAAACTGCCTCCTCTTTGGACTCCTCTATTTCTCTCAAGGGTACCATTATCCTTCCAGTACCTGCTTTGCAGCCTTAAAGTACACACACACACACACACACACACACACACACACACCCCGTATCCAGTTGTTTCCGAGCTTTGTCAATTTTACCTCAACACCATCTCTTACACTGGTTTCCATCACTCCATTCACGCAGCCACACCTTACTTTAGATCCTCCTCGCTTCTTGTTTGGACAACTAAAATAGCCTCTGCATTGTCTCCACTCTCTAGTCAATCTGCACTCAGTGACCAAAGTGGTATTCTTCAAGTCAGACCATGTCACTCCTCTTTGCTCAGCAGTCTCCAGTAGCTCTCTTTTACTTCTAGGATCAAATACAAACTCTTCATTTGTCAATTAAAGCCTTTCAAAGCCTGGCTCCAAGCTGTGTTTTGAGGTTTGTTGTAGTTGACTAGTGAAAGCTGCCTCCTTGTTATTCCTCACGTTCAACATCCTTTGCACAGGTTCTCCTTCATGCCTAGAAGGCACTCCTTCCTCTGTTCTCCCTCTAAGCCTCTCTAGTTTACTTCCAAGTTTAGCTCAAATGCCACCTACTACATGAGATATTTCCTGATACTCATCCCCTCACCTGCTAGTGCTTCCTTTCTCCTGTTTATTTTGTGTATCTTTATATGTGTACCTAGTATCTCCCTTTGATAGAATGTAGGCTCCTTGAGTGAAGGGACAGTTTCATATTTATTTTGGTATCTCTAGTGTCTACCATAGCCCCTGATACATAGGTGTTTAATAAATTCTCCTTGGTTGATATGTAAACTTGGATGAGTCACAATGCCTCTGGGCTTCATTTTCCCATCTTTAAAATGAGAGGATTTTAATTGAAGATTTCTAAGGCTTCTTCCAGCTTTAATTTATGATATCATGATGCTAAGGAATGCTCAAGTTGTTCTATGTTTCTGGGATAGCCCAGAGGTTGGAAGGAGGTAATGATAAGAGCTAATAGAGTCCAGTGAAATGGTCAATGGTTCTGACATTCCTATGACTTCATATGCTTGGGCTTGCAAATATGGAAGCCTTAAGTTTCCTCTTAGGTATTCAGGTAATTAGTAGAACCTTTGTCATGTGGTCTGAATTACAAAATATATAGAACCATAGGTTTTTCTTTAGTATTTTAAAGATCCAGGATTTCATCAATGTGTACTCATCTCAACCCTTCCATGCCTTTTTAATTAGAGTCCATGAGTTGCTGTGACCACCATTTTCCTGGTGAGCCCCTTGGAGATTAGCTAGCCTTGGTCCATGTATGACATAGTCCATTACTAAATCCATATACTAAGTCTTACCTTCTGCTAACATAGACTTGGAGAAGTCAGGCTACTTCTGTTTCTTAATGAGGTATCAGCAGAGTATTTTCACAGAGGAAAACTTTTCTACTCAGTTGAGATGAAAGTTTTGATGTTTAAAGGGGCAAGCCTTGAACTCTCCAGATAA